AAAAAAGATATAATAATATAAATATAAATATATATATAATTTAGTCCGATTCTGATTGGGTCATAGTCACGGCAATTCGGCGTGTTTTCGGCACCAAATCGCATATTTCCCGATAAAATATGACAGATGGAAGTAAATAACGTCTACAAAGGTGATATTTCACAGTAATAAAGAAGTATTTGGTTCATAACTGGATCGTATTGGGTAGTATTGGGTAGTATTGGGTGGTNCCCATTTCAATATATTTCTATATTCCAAAATCATGTAGAAACCGGCTGTTGTAAAATTTAAGTAGAAACACTGGGTCTGCATTCAATCGCTAAACTTATTCTACATTCAAAATGTTCAATGTTCTTGATATTTTTTTGTGAATAAATTATTAATAGGAAGCCTGAATCACAATACTAGATTACTCCATCAGTGTTAGAGGTTTACACGGCAAGATACTTTTGACAGGCGACAAAATCATATTATCCGGTAGAAAAAAGGCCGATCAGCGGCCACTTATGTTATAGGAGTAAATACTAGATATGCATGCCATTCAACTTGTGCTTTTCATTTGCAATTGGTCATATTCATAGATTAGGACCAGTACGTTTTCAGTACATCGAAACACCCTCAACACAAACCAAAAGGATTATACTTTAAAATAAATTGAAAATGCATTGTTCTCCCCAGAATTTGTTTTGATGTGCTATGGTGCGCAGTGCTGTCAACCGTTACCGCGTTGCAATCTATCTATCATCAGGTTGGGGAAAACCACCAACTTGCAAACACGCCAATTGGAGTATGGATTTATCACTAAAAATAACCCAAATGGCTTTAACAGTAACTTTTACAATATATTATTAAAAATCACATTTATTTACGACAAGGTAAACAATATTTTGCTAAAATATGTTTACTGAAAGCGTTGGCTACTTAAAAACTTGATGTAACTCTACCGGAAGTATTGCATCTATTTTTGGTACTTTCCTACATGGAAATACATTTTATATTTGCATTTGTATGATGTTTCATGACTAAATAAATGTGACTTGGACAAACAATTTGAAAAGTTAAGATTAAAGTGATTTTGGCTATTTTTAGTAACAAATCCATACCCCAATTGGCGTATAATAGGCGAGTTTGCGTAATATACGCAAGTTAGTGGTTTTCCCCAACCTGATCATGCGCGACACCACTTTGAGAAAGGAAACTAAAAACAAGAGTAATATATGATGTACTGTATTAAATTTTGAATAAGCATTACTTAATAATCCTGAAATTGCATTATATCATTGCTTATTTTCTTGCCCTGTTCTTTTTCTTTTTACAACTACAAATAAAATTGTCCGACTAGAGAAAATGGATAATTTTAGCAAACACTTCAGCATTTTTCCCCAAGAATATCATCATAGAAATAAATATACCACATGGTTTTCCCAGTTTGACATATATTCATTTATTTTTTGTTTTGATAACCTGATTAATCTTACATAATCTGTGATGCAATGGTGTTTGAAACTCAGATGAGGGGCGTTAATTTTTTTGCACCAAAATTATATATATATATATATATATATGTATATACAGTATATATAATCAGGTTATCAAAACAACATGGCTGTCACATGCAGTCTGCTAAGTTGTACGACCTATCTTAGCTGTATCTTGATGAAGCAAAAAATATTTCATGTTTTAAAGTTGTATCGACAGTCTTTTGTTGATAAAGGCTTCTCACATAACTAACTTATTTCAAGCATTAAATTTGATGGCCAAAACAATGCAGCAAAGGTAAGTCAGCAGACGTTTCTGAGTACAAAGTTACTGTACTTCTGTGTTTGTATTTCTTATTATGGTGTAGTTGTGGGGCACTTGTGTAAATCAAAACGTAGATTGAAGCCTTGATAATTAACAGACATCATTAGTTATAATAAGACGAACTTACAAACTGGTAATTGTGGTCTATTGTTCACGTTTCACACCCGATAGGTAGGCTAGTTCACATCCCCACAGGTAAATCTTCCTGCAGGACAGAGTTCGTTGATCAGGGTGTCGATTGTAGGGAACAATAAAAATTTAGTCTAATAAGGGTGAGTCTAATTGGAAAGGGGAGAAGGGTTATCAATTTGTGAGAACTTCATGTTTCAGTAAATACCTCAACGAGTAACAGTCAAATTGCATGCATAATGGTAAAATGGTGATGTGTAACGGCTCAAAATTCATGTGTAACTGTACCATCACGCTAAAACGGTCTGGGTAGAACACTGAAAACGACCCAGAGTCATGGATAGACTTGAGAAATATTTCAAAGGAATGGTTAAATTCCTTTGTCACATCCTCCAAGTCTAGACAGTACCTAGCTACTAGCCACTCAAAAACAGCTTTGCATTAAACAAAATTTCTACCTTAGACAAGCAGAATATCTCATTTTCTTCGTGCACATGTGTATTACACATGTACAGTAGTTGTCAACAAACAGGTTTCTTTCTGCTTGAAATATTTAAAACAGTGTTCTCCGGAATTGAGTGTATAGTCCAAGGAACCTTGAAGACATTGGACAAAGGCTTCTATCAATAGTCACACATTTACTGATGGCCAGTATATATTTATATAATCTCACTATTCCATGCTGGGGCCATTCCAGACAGTTCATGAGTGGTCTAACACTTGTGGCATCAATTATACAATTGAGCGGAACTAGACTAGATTGATCGTTAGCGACCAGGTAGCTCAATTTGTAGAGCGTTCGTGTTGAGTTCGGAAGGTCCTGGGTTGTATCCCAGTCTAGCCGTTGCATTTCTCTTTATCATGTAACACAAATAAATAAAAATGTAATAAAAACATCTGGTATCTATAATCAACTGTCATTGGTTTATGGAAAAGACAGTAGATGCACAGCATCTTGATGTTCTGTCATATCAGGTGTGTTAGAGCTTTAGCACATGTATGTGAAATTCAACTGACCAAAACTAGAGTTGAAGCAGTATAAAACCCAAACAGTAATTTCAAATCAGCAATGTATTTGTCACAGATGTAAATCAACATATTACAATTTATATAATGACAAAAATTTGTATCAGCAAATATGATTTTTTGTTACACATTATAATGTAACTAGTCAGTCTAAATAAACTTTCTTTCATGTTTTTATTTCAGAACCACATAGAGAATTAAACAAATCTACGCTGTAGCCAACCACAATGACTCTAACTAGAAGATCCCAGGAGAAGGCTAAGGACACTACTAAACCTACTGAGGAAACTGCAGAAGAAACTCCAGAAGAAACTGTTGAGGCAGTAGCTGAAGCAGAGCAGGACACAACAACCACTGACAATCAGGGTGAGACTGAAGTCAATGGGTCAATATGTGGTCTAGAAATATCAGTGGGTAGTTGTACATGGCCTTCATATGTTGAGGATCCAGATTCCACAGATATCCAAGACAGTACTATAGTAGAAGAACCAGAGCAAGAAGCAGCAGAAAATGGGAAAGGTGTTATATTGTTTTGATATTATTTAAACTCGTTACTTACCTTTTTTTTATTGGAAACAATGATCCTGACGACGCAGCATGCTGTCGCAAACTGGTTGCTGCTCAATAGGGTCGGGGAGTAAACCTTTAAAATGTAGACTATTTCTTCAGCACAGAAAACAATTTAAGGAATTTAAACATGTTCAAATTGGCATGAAAAGAAGAAAAATCATGGGTTCCATTAGGACATAAAAATCCTGAATTTTTACTATAACTCTGTGAAAATAGTGGTTTGTAAAATATCAAGATCCCTATAAAATGCAAGTGTATGTGCGTGCACGTAATAACGGCATACCATGCGATAGGCTATGGTTACATATGTTCCTGACATGTTAATATACCATGCGTAAGAAGGCTATGGAATGATGTCCAAAGTGTACATGATTGAGAGTAATTTTGTTCCATAAAAGAACAGTAAATTGGCAAATAAATATAGTAATTTAATTTGTTTCCGTCGTTTTTGGTATATTAAATAAAATAAGTGTCATTGTATAAATTCTATCCCTCTGCAAAAAGTTCCGATTATTTTCAAGGTAGACAACTCTCATAAGGATCAAAATAATTGTAAAATGTAAAATAAATAAATTATAAAGACTGTGTGTATTTTGTTCAATTTTTCACTCTTTTTGTATGTAACTATGTGTCCTGTTTGATTTTGGCTTGCATTTAGTAACTTTTATCCATAAAGTTTCAATAAAAAAACGCTTTTTAGCTCACCTGGCCCGAAGGGCCAAGTGAGCTTATCCCATGGTGCAGCGTCCGTCGTCCGGCATCCGTCAACTTTTTCCTTTAAAATGCTACTTGTCCTGAATGGCTCAGAGGATTTTGACCAAATTTGGTCAGGAGCATCATTGGCCAAAGGGTTCTCACTTTTGTATAAACGGAGGGTATAACCCCCCTGGGGGCAGAGGGGCGGGGCCAAATAGGGGGGAAATAGGTAAATCTTTAAAAATCTTCTTCTTCTCAACCAATAGAAGGATTTTGACCAAATTTGTCCTAGAGCATCTTTGGACAAAGGAGACTCAAGTTTGTATAAACGGAGGGTGTGGCCTCTTTGGGGGCAGAGGGGCGGGGCCAAATAGGNGGTTGATTAGCAATGTTTCTTTTCATTATTTTATTGTTGCAATAGTTTTGAACAATGCCACACGCTCAAAAAATGTGAAAGTGTTGAATTTGTCATAAATTCAATTTTTCAGTATTTTTTACAAATAAATCCCCAGTTTATCGGAATGCTTAGATTTTCATAAAATCATCTCTACATAGTGACATAACTATCATGTGAAACTTTCGTTGAATTCTGATGGCTAATTGCGAAAGGGTGGAGCCTCCTTTATAGCAGGATTATTTTTATGAATATTACTTTTATTTTTATAAAAGTCAATCAAGGAAACATTTGTATACATATAAAATATAGGTGTGGCACTGTGTCATATATTGATAATTCATCCTGTGATACAAATGTATAGACTACACCATGAAACCGAGGAAGCATAAATAATTCTTGGGTTTTGGACTCCTCATTAGTTAGCAATTCTTTCAGCGACGTCAGTGTCTTACGCATCTAGGATTGTTAACTTTGTTTTGTTTGTTTGTTATTTTGTGTGTTTTTTTGTATTATTTGAGCAGTTACGTGTATATTTTGAATTTGATTTCATTTATGGAGGATTTCTGGGTGTTTCAGAACTTTGATATGGAAATCATAACACTTTCTATCTTTCAAACAGTGATCAAATGCTGAACATTATTTCCTTACTTATTTAAACAAGCTATATATATATACTAATAATAAAGTAGAGGCTTGTCCTAATCTCTATTATTCCTTGAGAATCTGTAGGTTTGAGGATGATGGATATCTTATAATGGAATATAGTGGTCCTGTCAGATGTAGACTTAGCTGTAAGCTCTCCTGACATATTTGTTTATGGTTTATATGATTTGGCTTTAATATCATATATTAAGACAAAAATATATTAAGATAGATTTGTTAATAAATTTATCACAGAGCTCCCCAGTTATTTCTGTCGGTGATCTTTGCTACAATTAATACCATGGTACTACAACAAGGTCAATTGACTTGTATTCATACACAAAGATGACATCACAGAAAGCATGGTTGCCAAATGAATTGTATTGTTTAATTGCAGTTGAAGATGTTGAAATGAAAGAAGGGAAAACAGAAGAAGTTGATGAGCAGAAGGAGGACAAAAACGACCAAAAGAAAGATGAATCCATGGAAGTAGAGGTGAAAGAAGATGAGGAAACAAAAAAGAACAGACTTGTAGATCAACTGTACAAATCTGAGTTCTTAAAATGTATGTTCCATTTATTACAGAAATCAATCAACTGATTATCTTATTACATACTTTTGTGTTATCATTAATTTTAGTTTTTATGTCACAATAAAATTTATTAAATTATTTTGACATGGAGCGGGACTCTTTGTAATTGAGCCCAGTTTAATTATTTGGATAAACCTTCAGTCTGTATATTGTGTTAGTACCAGCAGGAAAAAAGGATATTTCTTTCATGAAATATTTTGAAATATTTATAGTCTCTCTACTTACTTTGATTACGTATTGGGATAGCATCAATGCAAACACTGATGCTAACAGGATTCTATTGCTAATCTGGCCTGAAAGGAAGACCTTATACTTCCCAGAGACCTTTGATATGACATACTATTGTTTAATCAGGAACCTGCATGATTGATGTGGCTGTATTACCTCTTCTCTGTTTAAACTGGTTATTTGTAAATGTTGGATAATGGAGGTACATTTACAGGGGTTTAGACTGAGTTAGCATTACCATGAACTTAATAGGTCTTGTTGAATAATATAGAAAATAAAAGAAGCAGATATTTTACATGTATTGAAATTACATTATGATAATGAAACATTAACCCACCGAGAATATCAGAGAATTCATGTTTACCGAGTGAGTAACAACTAGGGCTGTACGATAAGTACCGATTGTACCATGGAATAATCAATACTTGTATTTATTTCAGCTGTAACTGAAACTATTACCATAGAGCCTGTTAAGTCACAAATGCTGAAGAATGAGGAATTTATTGGCCTTTTATCTAAAGCCAAAGTCCTGAACCTTCAGATGGAACATCAAACTGGGTAAGTCCCAACAGACAAGCCTACATCAACACTGCCAACATAGAGATTCAAAGACACCACCAATATTCAAGGTCATATTCATTGCAAATCACCAGAATTTCCACCGAGTGGTATTACATTGTAATTTGAAGTGTTGGTGTTTATATCTTGGTGAAATATTAGCTAAGCAATGCCTCTCGGGATATGTATCCATACTACTGATCTATGGAAGGTAAATCTTTTGTTTAGTTTTCACTTGCATCTATTCTTGCAAGAGACAACCTTTCCCCTTATCTGAAAGGTATTAGCAGTTTGCCAAGGGTCACTGTCAAGAATGTGTGATATCATTTTCATTGGTACAGACATTAGCATTATAAGCAATATAATTTTATTCTATTTATTTTGTGAACAATTCTTATTTGCAATATTCAGGCCAAAATAAAATTTCTGTTCATTGTGATCTGTTGGCAGAAGTCACCTACGCTCCTGGCAACATGTCGGAGGAGACAATCCAATTATTTTCTTTTTTCCAATGCAACAGGAGAGGCTAGTGGTATAATTATTTAAATGGAATAGCCCTGAGTGTAGATTGATCTACATCTGACTTTTACCTGTTAATCTAAACTGCCTGTGTCATTACTTTGCAGCAATATTTGATTGAAAATAATGATACATGTATTAACATTGTATTTTGTAGAACTGTCAAGCTTACTTTTGCCCCCTACCGGGAATGGATGGCTTCACGAATCTTGAAGGGGCTCAACAGACTTCAGAAAGAGGATGCAAAACTGAACCTAGAGTGCTCCGAAGCTCTTAAGGCTCTGCTAGGTAATTGTGTGTTGTCAGAGATATGTGTGACACATGTAGTGCTTTAGATGAAATATTCCAATGTAACTTGAGTCAGATTAATTTGGGTAATGAATATTTGGTTTGGTGACACTTCAATATTCACATGCTGTAGAAAGTTGACCTTTTAACATTCCAGGTGGTAACTTTAAGACTTAAGAGTGGTGGAATGCTTAAAGCTGCAAACAATCTCAGAAACCTTTTGAAAAATTCTTTCCTTTGTATTTCAGAGTTGGAAAAAGCTGGGAAACTCAAAGGTATAAAAAATATCACTGAAAACATAATAAGTTTGCTTTACTTTTTATATTTTCAGAGATAATAATTTTCAAGTTAGCTGACAGTTTTTAATAAAATAGAAAGATTTGATTTCTTTCTTTTATCTAAATTGTAAATACTTTATTTAAATGAGGAGCCATAAAAATTGAACAAGTTTCACTTAAACACCATTTGTGTTGGTGATGGAGTTCTAGTCTTCAGCTAGACATAACATACAAGTCCGGTTTTTGGACTGAGACCACTTTGTCAGCCATTAATACTAGGTGAATACCACCTGTTGCTATAAATCAGCTCCTGGAGTCTTATGCACATTTTTTTGTTGAATGCACTTATATACTGTATCATCATTTGCTGTATCCACCAAACACATTCTACAAATGTAATCACAAACTACAGGAGGGATGACAAAGCCATTGTGTCAATCAGTTCTCCTCAGCTATAACATGGGGGAGGGGGTTCGTAGGCGTTCAGAGCGACAGTTAACTGTAATTCTGTGATCAGAAGTTACAGCACCAGTGACCTCAGTGGAAGGTATCACAACTAACAGTTTGTGAAATGTTTCATCAGTAAATGCATGAACTTTGCATTACCACACTTGTATCTGAAGGACTTTTGGAGGCTACAAGATGACTAGTCTCTTAGACTGTTGTGTTTCCTAATGGAGTCTGGAAATTCTTTTGGACGCAAAAACATGAATGTCACAATATTTTGACATTAGCCACTGCTTAAGTTGAAGTGGGCATGAGGTTTTGGTAAGTTAGTTTGTGTTGGATCATGCTTGATGATACAGGATGAAAAGTGCTGAATCAGCATTTTTATCTGGCATTTTTTAACATTTTAGTGTTTGTGTATTCATATTGCACATACTATCAAATTAAATCTCTCATATTTTATATCTGTTAGGGACTTTTTGTGAATGTCCTTACAATTCAAACATCATGTTTGAGATAATTTTGTTTTGCTGCCTTTCCTACATGCAGTGATGTGATAGACCTGTCCAATGGTTTGTCAGCACGCAACGGTCATGTTCTGGCCAGTGGCTGGTGCAGGGTTTCTGTCCGAGTGATAAACATTGTCGCTCGGACTGCCCAACTTGTGCATACATCCCTAGGAGTTGTTGTTTACAGGTGATACTCGTGAACAGCAAACATCTAAGTGTCTGTATGTTACTAACATACCAAAAGACACAACCGAAGAAACCATGAAAGCATTTTTTCCAAAATGCGTTAAAGTCTTTGTACGTGGTGAATCAGAAGAATCTGCTCTAGGGTAAGTATAATCCTTTAACCCCTACAACCAAACTTAGTGTGACCTCCAACCCATTCTCTTAGCAGAGCTGACGATATTCCTAACCAAAGTACTGAATTATGTACTTGGTATTTTGCTCTTCTTAAAGAGCATAATTGCTACAATTAAAGTAAATGAAAATCGGGAACGGAATTCATTAAGCTTTCTTTTATTCATTTCTGAAAGGATGATTTGGTGTCTTCTATTTTGCATCTGTAATATGCAACTTTGCATGTTATGATTAGTTTACATGCATGTAGGTATGATGGTGCATACAGATTACCAATACTGGAAAATGAATTACTGATACAATGACAAGGTATAAATCCTACCATCACTATATCCACCTGTACACCAGTGTAACAGTGGTTGGTGTAATTATTTACTGCAGCAGTGGTAACTTCTGTCATTATTGAAAGAAGGTCTCTGCAACTTTTATGTTTATTTTACATAAAAAATGCACAATACTTTTAGGGGGAATTTAGATGATTTTAACTCTTAAAGCATGCGTGGCTTATCAGTTGCCTTTAAGAGAAACCGATAACTTTAAAAAATGTTTTCAGCATTAAACAACTGTCTTTGTTTCCAGGTCATTGTTGTCCGTACTTTAAAAATAATTTTGTATATAAATTTAATGAAAATTACATGATTTAATATATAATGTAATTCAATGTAGTGAAATATTAAAAATTTATGATATTGTTCCGAAGGAAAGTGTACTTTTTTTTTTCTAATTCATAAAATAATTTGTTCGACAATTGAATATGATTTCATTTTCTGATGACAAAATTGACTACAATTAGAAACACTAATATTTACAGATGGGCTGTTATGGAGTTCAGCAGTAAAACAGACATGGAGGAAAGCTTTGAAAGTCAGAAAGAAATTGAAATGGGGGAGAGCAAAATCCCTGTCAGCAAAGTGAAACCTTTCGAGAAGAGAGGTAAATTTTGAATGTTTTGCATTAAATATCATTTAGTTGTTTAATAGGTCAATCTGATGAGATAACTATGAAAGTATTGTTAACAATGATCCTCATTACATACAAGTGTATATATTATATACCTCATTGCTGTGTATATATATGCATTCAGCAGTGGTACGTACAACACAGTGTTTCCAGAGATGCAGGTTGATACAGACTAGAGACAAGTTTTATTGTGTTATCTTGATCTCTTAGTGAAATATGATATTTCTTTGTGTGATTTGAAGGTTGTTTTTGCTCATTAGTAAGAGTTGTGATTTTGTTGTCATTTTTGAGCTCTCCATGTGAGTGCATGCCATTACCAGGTACATGTTACTGTACTTGGTTTCGACTTAGACAGAATATGCTTACCCTTCCAGAAAACCTGGACTTATTAGTCTTTTACTTTTTAAGACTTTCCTTGTAAATCTTTCCTTTCTTGTATATTTTGCCCTAGTTTGATCAGTACTGGGTTGGAGTTATGGTTTTGGTGACACTTGCGTATAACCCTGTTATAATCTCTGGTTGCCAGATAAGCTGCCTTATCCATAGGGTTTCTGTCGATGTGTCAGCTTTGTTGGTGCAAGGTTCAAGTTTTAATGCAACATTCATTAATATAAACTGAATTGTTTGTAACCAGAATAGTGATATTTGGCATGAAGGGGTCGGATACTGTTGCATGGAAATCTTCTGACATCATGGTTAGATTTTGCATAAAAGTTCAATTTCTCTGATAGTACAAGTCTAACAGTCATCAAACTTCAGGAGTACTACACCATCAGGTGACATGTACGTCACCATAACTTCTAGTTTCTGCTTCACTGACTCTGATAAGACTGTGTTTAGCTCCATTTTAAAATCTTTCAATTATGAGCTGAATGTAGTAAATTGTACATTATTTTATATCATAAGTTCATGAAAATATATTAATTCTTTATTTTGTTGCAAAGTTTTGGGATTGAAAATGAACAGGCTTACCATCAATTTTTGGAAAATATTAAGTTTCTTAATTAGTAATGAAAATAACAGCAGTGCTCCAGATAGCTTGCGTGAATGTGTATTCACGCTCGATAACTCACAAATTACACACAAACAAAAAATAAACTTGCTTAATTGACGCAAGCAAAATCCAGAACATTGCGCAAGTCTATGGGTCCAATTTAGCAGATTATAATATACTTGCAGTGAGTCACTGAGACGCTTGGATAGTATGCAAATCAATGTCTCCTGTTACAAACGCTAACTGGAGCGAGAATATATCTAATGAATGAATCATGGTGCTTTCAAAACAACAATCTCTATTTAAAAAGGGGTTCGCAAGACATTCTGATCCTCACGAATCTAGTAGATTTCATGAAAGAGATTTTGTAAAATATCATAAAGGGGTGTGGCAAGAAACACCATAAATCATTATCGAAGCGGGCTGACACATACAAATTATTCAATTTCTTTCAACATTTTCTGGTAACATTGCTTTTACAGCACTCCATGGTTCAAAATTTCAGTTTTCGACCCTCCACTTTAGAGAGGTAGGGGTAAAAAAAAACATGTTCAAAAGTTATTTGGAGCACTGCTAGCAGGAACTGCAACTGCAGTGTAAAATAGGATTATTTAAGCAGCTCACTGACTATAATACTTGATTGCATGTAAAATTTTAGACATTAGACAGCTTATTGATTTACAACTGCTATGCTATTACCAATAAATAGACAATTTAACACTTAAAATTAACTAATTGTAGAAGGAAGATTTACTGGTTGTTATGTAATGTAATAAATTGGACCCTGATGTCTAAAGGACAGGAGTACACAAGTCTAGATCACATAGATGACAGTATTATAAATCAGCCCGTCTTCATATGACCTTGTTCCAAGGAGGCTAAACCTCCTACATACAAATTAGGAATTAGTGAAATACTCTAACATGTACTATTAGCTTGCTTTTGTTGATAATTTTTTTTTCCCTTCTGTTTCAAATGCTGAAATGTTGTATTGTATTGTAATTGTTACAACAGGCAAAGGTTTTAAAGGCAAAGGAAAGTACCAGAACAAGGGCGGTTTGAAGGGATCAGGTGACAAAGCCAACCTGTCTGGGTCGGCCAAGACCAAGCCTATAGCCGCTGGAGGAGACAAGCCCAAAGGAGGATCTCAACAGTCCAATGCATCTATGAAAGCCAATGACCTGAAAAGAAAAGCACAAAATCAAAAGATGCAGCAGTTCAATAGCAACCAGAAGAGAAGGAAGCTTGGGGGTGGTCCAATGAGCGGTCCCATAGGATCATTCCAATTTGGGAACCGAAACAATAAGAATATGCGAGGTTCTGGAATGGGGATGTCAATTCTGGGCAATCCAAGAGGAGGAAATTCAATGATGAATTTGGGAATTGGGCCCAGTGTACCAAATATGATGGGAATGGGTGGAAATATGGGAGGTAACATGGGAAACATGATGGGTATGGGTGGTAATATGGGTGGTAATATGGGCGGTATGGGTATGGGACAGAACATGGGTATGATGGGAAACAACATGGGTGGCAATATGTCATCCTTCAACAATATGGGCGGAAATATGGGCAATCAGAAAAACAAGCGCAACAACAAACGAGGAGGAAATATGGACAACAGAGGTGGACAATGGTCAGGAGGTCCAGGTAGACAGCAGGATGGTCCCTCTGATGTAAGTATTATTAACCCTGTTACAGCCTACAGGTGTGTTTACTAAATATTTCTTTTCATCGATTAATCTACCATGTTGACACCGTATGGCCACTTTTCTCCGTTTAATTACCATTTTACAGCAAGAGATATATACCTGGTACTTGATTGTTGCCACAGTCATCCAGATCAGACACGCTAAATAGATTCAGTTTGATAACAACTGCATGAGGCTTGTTGATGAAATATAAAAAATGAGGCATCACATGGCAAATGTTTAATTCAAGTAATTAGATTTCCCGATGTCACATATCCTTATAAAAGAACATTCGATTACATTTTAAACATTTGTGATATAATATGCTGGAATGTATCATTTGAGATTTGAAAATTGTGGGAAAATATTTAATTCATGTGTAAGTGGCGATCGTAAATTATTTTACTACATTTTCCCACCCTACTTGTATGTTCAATATAATACTCTCGCCTACATTGAATATTTCTTAAAATATAATAATATGTAATATATAATCTATAATTAATCTCACAATAGTTTGTCTTGTTGTAATCAGATCACTATATTGTAAAAAAATCATTAAGTATATCAAGCATCTTTTCTGCTCTACTGGTGTAACTTGTTATAATGCAATAAAACAATAGGAATGATGGACCAGTGTTGTACAGGTGTAACCATCTTTATTACGTACAAATTCTTTACTTTCAGGAACTCTCTTCCAAACTGAGCAATGTGCTATNCGGTAATAAAACATTGTATTATCTTTAAAACCAAAAACAAAAACCAAAAAAACAACACACTCTTGCATCCTGTATCCAATAACAAAACTACGTAATACATATCACAGATATATTGGTATGTGATATCACACAGGCTTACAATAAAATATGTCACACATGTATTGGAAAAATAAAAAGTTGGCTAAATATCATGCAATGCATAAATTCTCATGCTGCATTTTAGAAGATTTAAGAAACGCATAATGCGTCTAATATACATACATGTCATTGTGACAAAGGGTAAAAAATTTCAGAATATACGCTAATGTATACTATATTGTGAAAAATTCATTAAGTATATCAAGCATCTTTTCTGCTCTACTCGTGTAATTTGTTATAATGCAATAAAACAATAGGAATGATGGACCAGTGATGTACAGATGCAACTATCTTTATCATGTACACATTCTTTACTTTCAGGAACTCTCTTCCAAACTGAGCAATGTGCTATCCAAACAGAGGTAGATATATTTTTCTTTATCGTACAAAAAGGATGAAGATAATGGTTATTATTCCAGATTTTTCTTGTTGATGTGCAATCAAAAGTGTTAATTTAGCAAACTTTCTTTCAAGTTTCCAATGGGAATAAGTAGAAATTAGACTTACCTCCCCTGTGATAACTCGCCACAGTATTAAGACAGAACACATTAAATACCAAAATTTGACAAAAGCTAGTTTTATTTATTTATTTATTTTATTTATAGATTAAGGTGATTTTCTGCACATGATCTGGAACATAAGTGATTTTATGGAGACATCTATGGGTTGGGTATATATATATATTTAAATGGAATAGTTTGTTCCACATTTACACAAAAATAGCTGCTTTTGGAAAGTTACTCTTTTATATATGCCATGTCTTATAAGTTTAATAAATACCATTTAATATCTCAAATATTCAATACCAGTATTAACATCAAGTTTAAAGTGTAACTTTTTACTGACAGGATGGGACAAGACAGTGACTCGGACATGGTGTCCATGCTAGAGTCAGCACTAAAGGCAGCTCAGAAACGAATGTCGTAAGTACAAATTTGTTGTTGAAATAAGACAGGTAATTTTTATCAGTTGGTGTTGCTGTTGTCTCTATTTTTTACCATTTGCATTGTTTTTGATATTTTAGTGTAAAGTGTTACTTTCTCATTTTAGTTTTATATCTGTAAAAGAATTAACGAGAACATTGAATTAATTAACTTAAAATAAATTGATAACATAAAAATCAGGATACTATGACTGGAAATGTTTCTTTTGAGACAATTAAAAAGGGACAGTTCCATTGTAATGTTAAAAGACTGTTATATATTTTGTTCAAAGACTCAGATATGTTCAAAGACTCAGATATGTTTTCTTTATGTTCCAAAGAAACAAAGACACTAGTCCCATGGACAGAGACAGAGGTAGAATGTTGCCGCCCAGCGCTTTCTCTGGTTCAGGTACAAAACTTCTCACTAACTTCTACTAGTCTTGTAAAATGTCGTATGAGGAATTGATACTGGTTTTACCCAATTCTCATGATGATACTTAAATATGATTATAGCTACTGTACAAATAGTCGGAAACTGAAAAATGTATTCAATCCAGTAAATTGTTGGGTCTGACTTTGTCATCTGGTGTAAGAAGACACAGGACCATGAACCAATGTGCAACAATACAAAGTGGTGTTAACACAGACAGTAACACAATAGATTTTGTTAACAATGATTTACTGTAGTTTTTACAAACTCACAGACAGTAACACAATAGATTTTGTTAACAATGATTTACTGTAGTTTTTACAAACTCACAGACAGTAACACAATAGATTTTGTTAACAATGATTTACTGTAGTTTTTACAAACTCACAGACAGTAACACAATAGATTTTGTTAACAATGATTTACTGTAGTTTTTACAAACTCACAGACAGTAACACAATAGATTTTGTTAACAATGATTTACTGTAGTTTTTACAAACTCACAGACAGTAACACAATAGATTTTGTTAACAATGATTTACTGTAGTTTTTACAAACTCACAGACAGTAACACAATAGATTTTGTTAACAATGATTTACTGTAGTTTTTACAAACTCACAGACAGTAACACAATAGATTTTGTTAACAATGATTTACTGTAGTTTTTACAAACTCACAAGTGAAAATAAATGTACCAGTTCTATTAAAAGTATTGTGAGCAATAATCAATGCAGTACATATCGTATTGTGTTAGAGATTATTGTCCCAGCCCTAAAATAGTGTTGTGGTTCTGTCCACAGTACAAAAGCTGACAATTGATGGCATGCTGAATATTTAGTTTGAAGTAGTTAAGTACTAAATCCAGTTGGGTCTGTTGTGATTTTTGTAAAACAAAACTTGATGTCTTTTGCATAACCAATCTTTAGTCCCTCTATGAAATACTGTGATATATTGTAAAATGTAATTATCTGAGGATTGTCTGGTGTCCAACTATTCTAACAGCTTGCATTGTTGTCCATTTAGTGGCTTCCGGCGTCGGTCAGGGGAACAAGAAACAACGCCCAAGACAAAACAAAAAAAATCAGAACTCAATGAGTAGCAGGTGGGGAAGTGGGTCAGGATCAGGATCGGCAGGAAACTACGGGGATCACAGTGGAAGCAGTACGACAAGCTTCATCAGCACCACAGGAGGAAACTACGGCAGCAGAGATAGCAGTAGTGGATACGGGGGGTCCAGTTACAACTCCGGGGCAACTTATGACAGCCCACCATCTTATGGAGGATCATCTGGATCAAGCTCGAGCTATTTCGGTAAGGCTGAAAAATTCACAATCTTAACAAAGAGTTTCAGATGGTTTTTTTCAGAGATTGTGTAAGTTAATGTCATCATCAAAATGATAAAGATTATTTAGATAGTCAGATTGTTTTCTTAAACATAATAATGGATAAAAGCTGAATATACTGAAATTTAGATGACAGTATAAGCATTTATCTTTATTTAAATTATTGGAACAGTCGGCATCAGATGACGATCCCAATCGCAATTGTTATGACTTCACAATCACTACCAGAGTAACGAAGTTGAAATGGGATTGTTTATATTGAGAATGCAATGCTTATGTTTAAAAAGAAATCTGTAATAAGGATATTAAATGTTTCAGGAGGAACCTACGGTGGAACAACTGACCAACCCAACACTGGCTCCTCCTACTATGATCAAGGTAGTCCAGCACATCATCCACTACTAGTATATTCGGTCTTTGCGTATTGCAAAGTTATCTTCTCTTGGGAGCAGGTATTGATTGTTACGTCATTGGTTTGTGTGAGAAAATTACGTCGTTTTCACAAAAATTGATGACGTTACTCTCACAAACCAATGACGTAACAATCAATACCTGCTCCCAAGAGAAGATAACTCTGCAATACGCAAAGACGGAATAGGTCATCAACTATCCAACACTGCACCTTCCTATTATAGTCAAAGTTTTACCAGTAAAAATCAACAAAAGGGCCCTCCTACTAGAGTGGGGATATTCAGTCCTACAAGATCTTAAAAACTTCATAACCATCCAGCATTGGTCTCACAAGAAAGATTTTTATCATTATAAAACAAGATGATGTGTGTTATGTTCAATTGTATAAATACTGCGTTCCTCGAAATATAATCTGCACTGTAAATTCAACACTATTTGAAGATTTTTTTGCTGAAACTTGTACTTGTACCTGTATTCAGAATATCTGAACTAAATGATACAGTTGAATGTTACTGTATCAAAGTTATGATCATTTAAATGATCTGCAAGACATTGTTAAAATATGTTATTTTATTTGTACATAGATATATACGTTTCTCTTAATATTTTGGTAATTAAAATTAAAATAAATGCAAAAGTAAAAACATTTTCATTTTAGCGAACAATTATGGAACAACACAAAGTTCCTATAATGATACTTCCTCGTATGCTGCGAAGTCTCCCTCACAAACATTTGACTACTGTAAGTATATTAACTACTATAAGTGTTTTAAACTATTCCGTCTGTTTTCTATACCTAGTAGTGTGCAGATATTCTATGTGCTTTGTGTGCCTGTGTATTTTCTCTGTACATGGGTTTAAGACAGATGAAGTCACAGTTATCTAGGATATTCTATGCGCATTGTGTGCCTGTGTATTTTCTCTGTTCATGGGTTTAAGACAGATGAAGTCACAGTTTTTTAAGATATTCTATGCGCATTGTGTGCCTGTGTATTTTCTCTGTACATGGGTTGAAGACAGATGAAGTCATAGTTATCTAGGATATTCTATGTGCTTTGTGTGCCTGTGTATTTTCCCTGTACATGGGTTGAAGACAGGTGAAGTCTTAGTTATCTAGGATGTGTGCCTGTGTATTTTCCCTGTACATGGGTTGAAGACAGGTGAAGTCATAGTTATCTAGGATATTCTATGTGCTTTGTGTGCCTGTGTATTTTCTCTGTACATGGGTTGAAGACAGATGAAGTCACAGTTATATAGAATTATCTAGGATATTCTATGTGCTTTGTGTGCCTGTGTATTTTCCCTGTACATGGGTTGAAGACAGGTGAAGTCACAGTTATCTAGGATATTCTATGTGCTTTGTGTGCCTGTGTATTTTCTCTGTACATGGGTTGAAGACAGATGAAGTCACAGTTATATAGAATTATCTAGGATATTCTATGTGCTTTGTGTGCCTGTGTATTTTCCCTGTACATGGGTTGAAGACAGGTGAAGTCACAGTTATCTAGGATATTCTATGTGCTTTGTGTGCCTGTGTATTTTCTCTGTACATGGGTTGAAGACAGATGAAGTCACAGTTATATAGAATTATCTAGGATATTCTATGTGCTTTGTGTGCCTGTGTATTTTCCCTGTACATGGGTTGAAGACAGGTGAAGTCACAGTTATCTAGGATATTCTATGTGCTTTGTGTGCCTGTGTATTTTCTCTGTACATGGGTTGAAGACAGATGAAGTCACAGTTATATAGAATTATCTAGGATATTCTATGTGCTTTGTGTGCCTGTGTATTTTCTCTGTACATGGGTTGAAGACAGATGAAGTCACAGTTATCTAGGATAGTACTCGGGTCCATTATGTTAAATCCCTGGTTACGTTGCTAGAGTAGTAAAAGAAAAACAGATTTGATTCTTACCCATTTTGGCAGCTGACATCTTTAATGACAATAATACAGAACAAAGATATCCGGATATTACAGCACCTGCTTTATTACATATTACACTCATTATTATACTCATGAAAATCAATCATTTTAAAATATATGTGAAATACTGCTACATTTGAAACTCATTGGTTCTTCAGCAGTTAAATAATTACTAAAATTAACTGTGTAAAGTAAGTATCCTGGAATTCCAAAGTTAGTCAATAGCATGTTTTCATTATAAAAAATAGTGGGTTTTTTTTCAAATTGCTGAAATGCTAAAATGTTGAAAGAGCTGTTTATGTTGAAAAACTGTATATCCCTTAATCACCATTCAGGATGGAACTGGTATTCTCCAACCCTTCACAGCTGTATCTCCCGTTTTAGCCGGAAAAGATCAGCTTGTCACCCCCTAGGGGTAGATAGCCTTGTGCCGATTAGCACGTGTTCAATTGTGATGTCATTATAATGTGTCATCGGTAATTGTGACTTCATCAAAATTGAATGACGATATGCATACCCCACATGTTTTTGTTTACAAATATGGCAGACTACTGTCGGTGGAGCTGTGACTGAAATAATAGGATGGGGAAAAACAATCATCCCCTACCTTGAGGGTGTGACAACCCAAAAACATCACCCCTCGGGTTGGAGATTTCTCTGTCACACCCTCAAGGTAGGGGAAGATTATATTAGTTCATCCAATTGAAAATGTGGAAGATATTATTGCTATTCTGTGGATCAAGAGATAAAAGTTCATCACACTGGCACCTCGCTGGTGTAAAACTAATTAATATGAGCATTTCATGCAATAACTTAGACATTTCACCAAAGATGGTCACACCACCCTCACAGGTGTTAATGATATTGCCAAATTTGTTAAAAACAAAGTACCTCTTGGTGTAGCAGACTGTTGTATCATGATCATGACCTGCCATGAATAGAGTTATGGTTCATTCTTCACCATTAATCACTTTTTGATCTGCAATTTTCAAATTTTGTATGCAAGGACCTCTTTGAATGGTTGAGTGTCACATCCTACAATCAGGTCTTGTGCCCCCAGTTTAAGTCTTTTGACTGTTTATCACTTTGTTCATTGCATGTTTCATCCATGTTGTCACCTCCAGTTGTCAAATTTGTGAAGAGTGTCACATACTGCAAATTGGTCTTGTGCCCCTCTCTCTGCATACAGTTTTATTGTTCTGTCAAAATTGAACATGTTTCACATGTCATTCATTTAAGTCTTTACACGTAGGGGGTTTCTGTTAAATATCTACCCAGAAGAAGGGCCTAAAATTAAATATTGATTATTTGCCTTAACCCAACCAATCTGGTACAAAAAAAGCACATACTCAAATGTTTGGAAACTTTGAATTTTATATAACATTTTATCATTTTTAAATCCCAGAAATATAGTCAGTCATCGAAAGTTGTTTATTAAAAGGATTTATTAAAACCAGTAAAATTAAGGGACATTTATGAAATAAATCAAAAACAAATCCCTACCTACATACCTATCTACCAACCCAGTTAGAGCCATATCCTTGGTTGGGGTTAGACAAGCACAGATTTTATTAATACATGTGTGTACGTTCTTGCCTAGGGTTCCTCTAAAATATCTACACAGAAGTAGGGCTCTTGATCTTTGTGTACATAATCTGGTATATCTATTTATTGTGAAGTTATATAATTATATGTATGTATATATAATTAGGTAAAGAGGTTATAAAAGTGTTGTATCATTTCAGCACACAGATCGACCGATTCCAGCTATGGTAACTACAGGTCTGGATACTATTGATCAATGTTAACAGCGACACATAGGAACTGGAGAGCAGTAGACATGTTCGTTTCTGTTTGAGGATGCTTTATTTCTCCTGTATTGTGTCAAAGACTTTTCATAATATGTCGTCATCAATTTATGATTGATTCAAGATTATAGGTTTGTTAAGCAATGAACACTTTTTACTTCTTGAATATGTTTTAATTTAGATAAATGATTAATTTTGGATTAATTATATAGAAATCATGACAGTTGAATTTTGGGCTAGGGTAGTGTGAATACCAAAATAGACTTAAATAAGTTTATTCATAAGTGTTACTCTTAAGTTAACTTTGAAATGTTGGGTTTATGTACTTGCATGTTTATATCAACTGTTCATTCAATAGATTAATTGGTGCAGCATTTTCACGTTTTACAACTTTGTATTTAGCTGTAAGAGAATAGTGTCATTCCATAGAAATGGAACGACACATAATTTCAAAGATCCCCCTACAAAGTTTGTGACACTATTAGCTCTAACATATAAAAAGAGGAAGTAAATGTAACATGGAGACAATGTCATCACTGTTGTTACTACTTTCTGGTCATATTTCTTGGTCACTGGTCGTTTTGATTGAAGTGATTCATCAGTCATTTTGTATTATTCATCCAGTTAAATAATCATTTATTATTATGTTTTACGTATTGTCATCTCGTGTTGTATTTTAAAAGGTATTTATGTTAGGTAGAATAGACCCTGATCGTAAGGATTACAGTTGCTATCCCGTACATGTGGCATTACCAGTAGCATGTTTAAGGTCCTGGTACTACAGTTGATGGTGTCAGTTAAGCGCATCCATAGGTGTTAGCCAATACATTGCCAGATTATTACAACTGTAAAATGTGTAACAAAGAACATTGTCCCAACATTTGATACTGTAATACAAAAGATATTCATCTGTACCAGATTTCTCCCTTATGTATCCTGGAAGCTTTGGTGCTGGTAGGAACGGAGAATGCAGCAAATGTTCATTTTGGAAAAAAATATAATTTTCACCATTCATTATATACTTTGTGTATTGACAGACAGCTGGAATGTATTTTGTAGCGTCAACTCATTTTTTAAGAAATGTTGAATAAAAAAACGTGATGTTTAAATTTGCAGACTTGTTTTCGTTGACTATATGATTCTACCAAACATCAATACATGTTTAAAATTGTTGTAACTGAAAAGAATGTCAATGCAGTTGTCTCCATTTGTAATACTTCCCATTTTTCCAGTTAAGTTTTACTGTGATATGGGATATGATTCTTGAATTCAAGATTAGCTAAACACAACAGCAAGACTAATAAGCACTATTTCCCAAAACATGAGATACCAGAGGGTTATTGTCGTCAACCATTGTATCACCTTCATTAGTCCTTTGTCAGTTTGGTCTCTCTCTTCTATTCTCTTATCTGTTTGATCAAGTCATGTTAACAGTAAATGCACCTTGAGGTAATGTTTGATCTGAACTTAATACTGCTGTGTATAAAAGACAACCTTCAAAGTGAGTTTGTTGTTTCACATATTTACTAGTACAATACTTAATGTGAAAGAAATGGAACTGAGCATTGCAATATGAGAAGGATCTGTTCAGTTCTTCCTGTCTGCCACTTTATTTATCTGATCAGTCTCGATAGTAAACATGAACAACAATAGACCAAGAGGAACCTACATATCAAATTTGAGAAAGATCCCTCCAGTGGTTCCAGAAAAACTATGATCAGTACCAAACCTTCACTGTCAAAATCCAAGATGGCCGCCTGTCGGCCATTTTGTTTATCAGATCAATCTCAAAAGTACACATGCACAACTACAGACCTCGGGGAACCTACCGCCACAGTACCCAAATCGGGACACTTAAAGGAAAAAGTCAAATAATTTGCATGCTGTGCAAAGAAGTATTTTCAATTTAAGAATATTGATTTAAAGATGCTAATATACCAATATATTCTAAATTGATGCGCCATGCGGCGTTATTGATTTTCAGTTTTTTATGTGATGGTTCAGTGAAAATCCTACTATTTCACAACTAATAGTGGTTTGGAAAAGAAATTCATTTAGAACGACCATTGACTATTCCAAAGATATGCCATGTTCTGCTAAATACTTTTTTCATCTCTAAATATAAGCCAAAACTGGTAATGGGTGTCCCGATTTAGGAACAGCTACACCTGTTTCGCGATTACGTAACCATGACTATATTTCTGGGTTCATTTAAAGAACCATTCGCCGGAAATATCAACTTGCATCAAAATAAAAATACATGTATATTGATATCTATTTAGGAAAAGTGTACAAAAATTACTGGGATCGGTACTATGGAATGAAATACATCAATATTTCACTAAAAAGTGTCCCGATTTGGGTACTGTAACGTTACACATCAAACTTCCTGAGAAACCTTCAATTTCAAAATCAAAGATGGCTGCCTGTCGGACATTTTGTTTATCAAATCAATAATAAAAGTAAACATGCACAACTTCAGATCAAGGGGAACGTACATGTCAGATTGTGAAAGATCTCTCCAGTACTTCCTCAGAAATAGCGATAGCAAGAATTGTTTCAATACGGACGAAGGGCGATTTGAATAGTTCACCATCAGATGACTGCAGTATCTACTATTTCCCACAACACATTGGCTAACGTGTACCATTTCCCACAACACAATGACTAATGTGCATTGGAGAGGGCGTTTCTACGTTGAGATAACTTATGCCTAATCCTTTTTGTTGAATGACAAATAGAATATGTTTAAATCCGATGACGTGTACCATTTCTTACAGCATAAAGACTAATGTGTACCATTTCCCACAACACAGTGGCTAACGTGTACCATTTCCCACAACAGAAGGGTTAATGTGTACCATTTCCACAACACAGTGGCTAATGTGTACCATTTCCACAACACAGTGGCTAATTTGTACCATTTCCTACAACACAATGGCTTACGTGTACCATTTCCCACAACACAGTGGCTAATGTGTACCATTTCCCACAACACAGTGGCTAATTTGTACCATTTTCCACAACATAGTGGCTAATGTGTACCATTTCTTACACCACAAAGACTAACGTGCACGGTTTCCACAACACAAGGGCTAATGTGTACCATTTCCACAACACAAGGGTTAATGTGTACCATTTCCACAACACAGTGGCTAATGTGTACCATTTCCACAACACAGTGGCTAATTTGTACCATTTCCTACAACACAATGGCTTACGTGTACCATTTCCCACAACACAGTGGCTAATGTGTACCATTTCCCACAACACAGTGGCTAATTTGTACCATTTTCCACAACATAGTGGCTAATGTGTACCATTTCTTACACCACAAAGACTAACGTGCACGGTTTCCACAACACAAGGGCTAATGTGTACCATTTCCACAACACAAGGGTTAATGTGTACCATTTCCCACAACACAGTGGCTTATGTGTACCATTTCCACAACACAGTGGCTAATTTGTACCATTTCCCACAACACAATGGCTTACTTGTACCATTTCCCACAACACAGTGGCTAATATGTACCATTTCCCACAACACAGTGGCTATTTTGTACCATTTTCCACAACACAGTGGCTAACGTGTACCATTTCTTGCACCACAAAGACTAACGTGCACAGTTTCCACAACACAAGGGCTAATGTGAACCATTTCCCACAACACAGTGGCTAATGTGTACCATTTCTTACAGCACAAAGACTAACGTGCACGGTTTCCAAAACACAGTGGCTAACGTGTACCATTTCCCACAACACAAGGGTTAATGTGTACCATTTCCACAACACAGTGGCTAATGTGTACCATTTCCACAACACAGTGGCTAATGTGTACCATTTCCCACAACACAGTGGCTAATATGTACCATTTCTCACAGCACAAGGACTTACGTGTACCATTTCCCACAGCACAGTAGCTAATGTGTACCATTTCCCACCGCACAAGAACTTACGTGTACCATTTCCCACAACACAGTGGCTAATGTGTACCATTTCCCACAACACAGTGGCTAATTTGTACCATTTTCCACAACACAGTGGCTAACGTGTACCATTTCTTACACCACAAAGACTAATGTGCACAGTTTCCACAACACAAGGGCTAATATGTACCATTTCCACAACATAAGGGTTAATGTGTACCATTTCCCACAACACAGTGGCTAATTTGTACCATTTCCCACAACACAATGGCTAACGTGTACCATTTCCCACATAACAGTGGCTAATGTGTACCATTTCCCACAACACAGTGGCTAATTTGTACCATTTTCCACAACACAATGGCTAACGTGTACCATTTCTTACACCACAAAGACTAACGTGCACGGTTTCCACAACACATGGGCTAATGTGTACCATTTCCACAACACAGTGGCTAATGTGTACCATTTCCCACAACATAGTGACTAACGTGTACCATTTCCCACAACACAAGGGCTAATGTGTACCATTTCCCACAACACAGTGGCTAATGTGTACCGTTTCCCACAACACAGTGGCTAATGTGTACCATTTCCCATAACACAGTGGCTAATGTGTACCATTTCCCACAACACAGTGGCTAACGTGTACCATTTCTTGCACCACAAAGACTAACGTGCACGGTTTCCACAACACAAGGGCTAATGTGTACCATTTCCACAACATAAGGGTTAATGTGTACCATTTCCCACAACACAGTGGCTAATGTGTACCATTTCCCACAACACAGTGGCTAATGTGTACCATTTCTCACAGCACAAGGACTTACGTGTACCATTTCCCACAGCACAGTGGCTAATGTGTACCATTTCCCACCGCACAAGAACTTACGTGTACCATTTCCCACAACACAGTGGCTGATGTGTACCATTTCCCACAACACAGTGGCTAACAAGTACTATTCGTTACTCCAACAAAACTATTGTTAACGTGTACTATTTCTTACAACACTGTGACTGATGTCCACGGTTTCCACAACACTTGCTGATGGGCTCTATTTCCCACAATAAAATGGCTATTTCCTACAAAACAACGCTAACGTGTACTACTTTCCACAACAGTACAACAGCTAACGGGTACTGTTTCCCAAAGCACTTGCTCACCCGCACTATTTCTCACATCACAATGGCTAACGTACTATTTCCGACAAAAATATAGCTATAAATACTCTTTCCAGCAAAAACAATAAAACTTTCATGCATATATGTGAAACACAATTTCAATTAACTGGAACGTATACACGGACATATACTGTTGACTTCAGTAAATCCAGTGATAAATGTAATAATGACAATGAAAACGCATGTAGATTGTAGTTTGCACCCCCAAAAAAGGACGTCGTTAACGATTTCTCCTTTATAATAAACTTCTTCCAGGTCATCAGTTTGTAAATAGAAAAAGCATACCATATACAATTTGTATAAAACATATATAGTAATGAGGATAAGATACCCGGCATTACTTGCAATTAGGTCTCACCTTATTTATTTTACATTCCTTCTAAACAATGTTATTTACAAACTCTAGCTTTCAAATTAGTGTGCGGTTTTTGATAACGTACGTGTATATGATAAAATGACAAGGACGTTTAAGTATACCTCACGGAGGACTAGACACCATCAACCAATCGTAGGGATTCGTGAAATAGTGTCAATCGAAATCATGCAATAGACATAGATAATGTAGACCCTTCATCCAAATGACAGGAAACAATATTCATGTGATCTCTTGGAAAGTACGACAAAATGAAGTATGCTGTAAAATGAATGAAACGCACACACGAGCGACTGCACGTTTAAGATGTGGCAATAGACAGAGCATACAGCTGTTAATGTTGTGTGGCAATAGACCGAGCATACAGCTGTTAATGTTGTGTGGCAAAAGACAGAGCATACATCTGTTAATGTTGGGTGGAAATAGACAGAGCATACAGCTGTTAATGTTGTGTGGCACTAGACCGAGCATACAGCTGTTAATGCTGTGTGGCAATAGACAGAGCATAAAGCTGTTAATGTTGTGTGGCACTAGATCGAGCATACAGCTGTTAATGTTGTGCGGCACAAGACAGAGCATATAGCTGTTAATGTTGAGTGGCAATAGACAGGGCATACAGCTGTTAATGTCGT